AAGTTCCCTGACCAAAAGAGATGTCGAATAGTTAATGCCATCATCGTCTATATGGAACGCCGCAAGTTTAGAAGGTACGACCTGGTCGCACATCTTAAAATCATGTTCTACGGTGATCCAATCAGCAATAACTACCGATGAAAAATTTATAAGAATGTATAATAATAAACCTTTCTTCATAGTAAAAGAATTTTGAAATAATTTTTTTTCCCTTGTCGAAATCTCGAAGACCTTATATATAACCCTCGGAAAAAATTACAAGATCCACTTGCCTTTAATTTTATTTGATTTTTTATTTTTGAACTTTATAAAATGTCGATCTTGTCCAAAACATTACTTCATTTATGATGCATCTCACTAAACCACAAAAGTCCGAAATTTTATATCTTTATTATATTTGTAACTAAATTTCTAATTCAACCGATTTAAACTTTAAAAAAAAACGAGACAAAGTAATTAGTAATTATTAATCTCCGCGGTAATGAACCGAACCTTTCCGTCCGATTATTCCGTCCCGTTCTTGACCAAATAAAGAAACTGAACTGATCTAAAAAATAAAAATAAAAATGAGAAAAAAAAGGAAATTGACAAAGTGAACAATATAAAAAAAATAATCAAACCTTGGCCGCATTCGCTGCGGTGATGATCCGTTCAAAAATCTGTGGAAAAGGAACTGATCTAACCTAAAAAGCTAAGGGAAAAAAGGACGGCCAGTCTAGTTTAGTTATATAAGAATATAAATTGATATTAAAATTTATATATTTAATTAGGTAAAACCTTGAAGTTTAGAGTTTGGATGCGATTAGTTACTATCGCAGTACGCAGCCAAAAAAGTTAAGATAGTCCTTTGTTCACAATTATTTATGAAATGCCTTTTTAATCAACCATTTTAAAGACTTATGATGTTATTAAATTGTAGATAAGTTTGGAAATTAAACCATCAGTCTTACAAAGTTACGCACTGCATTTATTTTCCATTTGTCTGAATAGTGCCAGTTGTGAACATGGATTTCCTATTCGTGGATGGTTATCAAATAAGAGACACCTTCAACTTGGTGTAGAACGATTAGAATCAATGGATATGTTGATTTCATATTATAGATCTAATGCATCTCTTGAACTTGGATTTTATGGAAAAACAATCATCAGCATTAAACGATACTCAATTAAAATTGATACCTTAGCAAAAGGAGTTGATGAGGAGGAGGATGATGATGATGACGATGTACAAAGGACAACTATTGGCAATCATATAATTACTAATCATGCATGAAGTAATGATTTTTATTGAAAATTCATCAAATAAAATTATTACTAAGAATTGGGAGAGCTTTTAATAGATGATACAGATGATTTGGATGAAGAAAACATTGAATTTGGATGAAACTATTGAGTTGGATGATGAGCTGGAAAATGTGTGATTGTAGATTATGTAGTAAAAGGATTAGTTGAAAATAATAATAATTAATATTATATTAAGAATATAATTATAATAAAAATAATATTACTATTTGATTAAGTTGCAATAAAAAGTAATTTGTTATATATTTGCGTGATATTCTAAGTTACCATTACAAGTAAGTCACCGTTATTGTATAACATTATTGATCAACAAATCGCTCGATTTGTGATTAACTGATTGCTTATTTTGGCAATTTTGGCAATTTCGGCAAAATTTTTTTACTGATATTAATTTCGTACAATCTTAATAATTTCTGCAATTTCGGCGATTTTCGACATGCCGAAATCGGCATTTTGACATATTTTAATTCCCCAATTATCATCTCCAAAATCATCAGTAAGCCGTGATAAACCTTTCGCTCTTGCTTTTTGGATTGAATTTGTCGTTTGGATAGACGAGTCATAGTTATTATCAATCTGATGCTGTGAAAATTCCATCATTTACATGTGAAAAATTTTATGTTTACATGCCGATTCTCAGTCTGAAATTCTTCTTTTTCTTATATACATCATTTGAAAATCTTTTTGAACTTCAAATCAAAATAAAGAAAATATTGATTATTTTGTAAAAAATAATAAAACCTTTAGAAATAATAAGCTCATCATATTTTATTAATCTATCGGTTTAATTGTATAGTTTATTGCTTTTGTCCTGATTTATAAATAATTGAAGTCACGTGATATTTTTTGTGGTTTATAAGTGACATGCACCATATACAGTGGTGTGCAAAAAAAAATGAACTTTTTTTCGAAAAATGATCAATTGGCGTAACTTACCCAATTTTGGTCAGAATTACACAAATAAATATGCAAATGAAAGCCTGACGATCTCTCTATCAACTTTTAGCGAAACCTTTCCCACACTTTAACAAAAATTTTATTTTATCGAATATCAAAATGACCTCATC